CAAGGATGCTATCTGCTGCTAAAATTGCCTGAAACCACACAAAGTGGCGAAAACATGCGTTTCTTCACCAGCCACTAGTCCTGTTATGTTTAGCTTCGGTCGACCTGCCGTTTATTTCAAAACAGAAATCGATGCGACCTCTTTAAAATAGATCTATCTAAATCAGTCTAAATCTTAATCTAAATCTAAATCTAAATCTAAATCTAAATTCAAAGCTCGAATTTGAACGTAGGCCGATGACGCACGGCGGCACGCCATGAGCCGACGGGCTGGTATCACGTGACCCGGCGCGATCGGCTGACTCCGTCGGGGACTGTAGCCGTGACCTTGAAACCGAACCGGGCGCCCGAACGATGTATAAATGAAGAATACATTTTGATCAACCTTGCGCAGCTGCTATGCACCGCGAGTGAGGTAGAGAGCCAAATTTTATCTTAAAACATGGTATGCAGCCATATACCACCAGTTCCATGACCGTCGTTAGAAGGAAGTTGTCACTGATCATATGCTTATGTCGGTCGATGTATATACAAAAGAGGTAAAACAAGCAGGCCTAAGCCCTTTGTCGTCTATTCTGTACCTACAACAGTCGTTACAATTAATGTTTCGCGCCGCATTCATCCCTCAAGGGATTACTTTGAATGTTTGAGCAGTTATACCCATTGATGTAACCATAGCTGAGACGCGTTCGTAAAAGGCTAGTGACGACTGTCGCTGTGCATTCCCCAAAACGTTCGTGCGTGTTTACGAACATGCATTCTAATCATTGTTCCACTTTGCGAGTTTCATCAGCTGCCACATCGATGAGAAACACCTACGAATGGAACTGAAACTGTAAGGTTAAACTACGTGGATTGCTAAACAAGCTACGCGATCATTCATAAGAAGATAGTGAGCGCACGTATGCATAACAGACAAGCCACGATTCAAGCACACAAATTTGGACTTCTGTGTTTTGCTTCGTAGAGCATCTCATGAAATGCGTCAATATTTAATTCGTTCGCTAACCGGCAATGCAGTCGGTGCAACTGTGAAACATATCCTGTGACGTCAAAACGTGATCCCGCTCTGGGCAATACCGTTTTATGTGTCCTGTCAGACATTGAACGGCATTCTCGCTTCGGTGCGTGAACCATTCCCATGAAAGGTCACGAGCAAATGCTATACGCATTTAGGCCCAAATCCTGAGACGGGTGACGCATGTTTAGGAGGTTACATTTATTTGATACTGGACCAGGTAGCAGAATGTAAAACAATGAACCTGGTTTTTACTTGCTTTTTGGCAAGTTTTTTTTCTTTTCATGGAAAGTGAATACTGCGGCAGTCAAATAAGGCTATCTGCCACTGACCATACACATAATTTTGATGGCGAGGTCATTGGTTTTTTAAAACATGCCACGACTAGATTTATATTGTCAAGTCGCTGCTCGCTCAAAGATGTTTTCGCAGCGGTAGCCTTGGACCGCGTCTTGTGCAATAAAAATAACAATTTTCGGAAAAAGTCTGTGCGCAGTGAACGAATGTTCTGCCACACCTTTCGTGAAAGCACAAAGCTGCCTTCCTCCCCTGAGCCGTTGCGTTTTTCAGCAGGCCCCTTACAGCGGCGAACGTGAGCGAGAGCACAGAGCGGTACCGAAGTCAACCTGACAAACTGAACATATGTTTGGGACTTGTGGTAAATAATTCTGTTCGAAGTACCGAACACAAACGCTGCCATTATAATTATTGTACCCGATTTAAGGGAGTGTGTCTAGTCAAATTCGAACTTTTGACTGCACGTAAAATGGTAGGGAATTTTGATTAACGAATTATGGTGTCATTGGCTTCCACAAATTCGCCTCCACCGACGAGATATTGCCACAGCCCCAAATTTTCTTTGGTTTGTATGGAGGAACGAAGTTATCGGGTAGCCCCCAAGCAAAATTCACTACTAAACACATCGACATCATTGCAAAGGTATCGTTAGCTGTAGCCAGTGGCTTTCCGAGGATGCCGTTTATCAGCGTTGGCAGCAGCTTGCGAATGCGGCGGCCATTACGTTGTTTTTTTTGTGCTGTTGGTAACATTCAGCCGAGGGCTGCGAGTGTACGGGTTTAGACGTATGGTAAGGCTGGTCGATTGACGCGCGCCAATTCATGTCGGCCTACTGAGATGAGGAACAAGTATTGTGTCGTGTCAATCAGCTGCACCAGGCTTTAGGGAAATGATTGTTCCCCGTTGCTTAGCAACCAAAATAATGGCCATGTCTCTAGCGCGCAGTTACTCGCCACATATAGGCCAGTGCATTCGTCCTGTCTGCCCGCTGATTGGTTTATCTTTTAGGATTGTATTTGTTCACGCACAGCTTTTGATGCGGTCAAAACAAATAAATAAATAAAAACTGTTGCAATACCCAAACGCACATTTAGCAACCAAAATTAGCCATAGATAATTGTTAAACTCCTCTTAGGCGTTTATTGAGAAAACCGAAAACATTAGAAACACTCCCTTTAATACACGCAGATATGTGACACGGGCGCAAGGCCACGCCCATACCGCCTGCTGAGCATTTGCATGAACAAAGAAATGCATAAAACTGGCCGCACAAGAACGGCCATAAATTTATCCGGTCGCAAACATTATCGCCCGCAATTGCTTCGAGGTGTGCTTCGGAATCATGAATGCGAAAATTCCAAATCATAAGCCGCAGCTGAATCGCGATATCACGATCTCGGGATCCGCGCTCGCGCTTCCGTGGCTGAGCTCAACCCTGATGTTGATCCGGAGCTTGTGTCTGTAGACTCTGTGGCCCGGACACACCCACATGTTGGCTGGATTGTTTTCGATATTTGAAGCGACGGATGGCTGTGCTTTTCCAGCAAGCCGCGTGCGATTCATTTCCATGTTCTGCCATACCCTTTACAGATAAATCTCTCTAGAAAACTGTTGGTGACTTTGCGCAAACTCCCGCTAGCCACTTTGTGCTTCAGGTCGAATGGGTCTAAATGCAATGGTCTTGCGTGGCGAACATTCACACTTGTAGAAATTTAAGAAGCTTACAAATCTTGTCCGCGATGACGGCGATGGCTTGCTCCGCACGACGCAGTAATGGTACGCCACGCAACTTTTTTCTGAACCTCTCCGACTAATTCAACCAATTCCTTTTAAAAGCATCCCCTGAAGGCGCCAGCTGAAAGCAGTAAAACTGCAGGTCTTCATTTTCCCGAACCCCGGCAACGCGGCTCTCCACACACCGACCCTCTCTTGGGCCTCGGTCTGATTCACTCGCAGCTGGTGTCGAACTAGGTGTGTGCTGTCTTGAATTCTATGGGTGCGGTTACAGGCGACTGAGGCAAAACACATGTCTCAGGCTCCAGGTTAAGGCCAGATTGGAAGGCCAGTAATGCATCTTCAGACCAGTTGTTTGTTTCTTCTCGTGTTGAGCTCCAGCTCAACTTGATTTAGAGGCTACCGATGTGCCGTGAGGATACGGGGCGCACGACGGCGCCATCTGCGCGGCTCGTGAGAGACGACAGGTACGTAAGGTCGACCGAACGCACTCGTTATGCAGGCCGTTCCAGAGTTCGCCGTCATTGGGGCTTTACGACGCGCTCAGCTGCTGAGGCTATATTGAAGTATCTAAGTGCATTCCTCCTGACTTAAGTGACAGCCTGAGCGGCAAATATTGGAGTGAATGGCCCCAAGCTCATGGCCACAGTTCCTCGCGGAGAGAGCCGATCGCGCCCCGTCAGCCGTTGCCACCCGCCCGGCTCATGGCGTGCCGCCGCGCGTGATCCACCACCGTTGAAGTTCAAAGTCCGGCCGGTCTAAAGCAGATTGCATGAATTTCCCTTTCGTTTGGTCTGAACAGCAATGCACTGGTCTTCAACTGCGCTTCGATTTAAAGCAGCTTGAAGGCATCATGCTTTCTGAAAATGAGGTTGACCAAACCGGGTCACTACGTGTACCTAGGTGACCTGCATGTCAGATTGAGGACATGCAGGTCACCTAGGCACATGATCAGATTTCGGAAAAATGTAGGCATTTGGCTCTCCGATGCGCTTTTCCAAGCGTGATACTCTGCAACCGTTTCGATAGATCAAGTTGGAATAAAGCGTTCGTGACGTCGTCGCGTATTCTCATCCACCACTTGTTCCTCATCGACTCGCCGTAAGGCTCTAAAACTTGCAGAATCGTCTTTTGCCCGTACCACTGCTCCGTTCACGTGCTGTCGCCAAACCTGAAGGCGTTCCGCGCTATCCTACGATTCACCATAGAATGTCCGGCAGGAACGGCACATAGCCAGTTTGCGGCCTCGCCAGAGCGCACCAGACGGAAAGAACACACTCACAGCGATTCCCTCCCATTCAGCACAAACAGGCCCGGATCGCGCCAGGATTCAGGAAAACGAAAACGGCACCACTGGCTATATTTCAAGTATAAATTAAGTTCGAAAACAGTAAATGTTGCGGAAGCAGGCGGTGGGCCCACCGACGAGTGGGCCATACCCGGGCGTGAGGCGTGACGGAGAACTGAACTGAGGCGACCACTGAAAGCGCGGAAGCACGGTGGCCTCCTGAGTGCGCGTGGGCCGCCACCAGCGAGTCGTCACCGCACGGGGATCGTCTGACTACACCGCGCTGGCCTGCGCGCTCCTTCGACAGCTACCGCCGCAAATACGCATCGGCCGTGGTCACGTGACAGCACCTGCTGATGCAAGAAGGGCCGTGAAGCACAACCCACCCAACAGGGACGAAGCGGGCACTCTGAACGCCAGCGCGGCCGGCGGCGGCGCGACCGAGCAGCGCACACTGTCCCACGCGCCACCGACCGCGACACGACTTCGCCGTCGGCAGCGCCGGCCCGCCGCGGCCCGCAGCGCCGCGCCACCCGCGCCAGCTCGGGCCGGCGACGAGCGCCGCCTGGCGGTCCACCTCGCGTCGTCCGTTCCCGGCACGGCGGTCCGCGTCGCCGCACGTGCCGTCCGCGCCGCCGGGCACCGCCACTCCGGCAATCCGCTCGTGCCGGCCGTCGCCCGCGAGACGCCAGGCTCCTCCGCGGCGGGAAGCTGACGGCGCCGCCCAGTTCACGGCACGAGCGTGCGAGCGGGCGCCTCCGCCGCCGCCGTCGCCATCGCGTCGGCAGCCCGCCTAGTCGGTCTAGCGTTGTACCTGCGTCGGGATCTTGGTGGTCTTCCGCGGCTTGCCGGCCCTGCAACGCAGCGCACAAGGTTGGACGCCCATCTCGCGATCTATCCCACGACTGCCGCTTGCACCGGACAGCGCCGGCGGACAGCAGCCGGACAGCGTCGGCGGACAGCAGCCGGACAGCGTCGGCGGACAGCAGCCGGACAGCGTCGGCGGACAGCAGCCGGTCAGCGTAGGCGGACAGCAGCCGGACAGTGCCGGCGAACAGCAGACGGCCAGCGTCGGCGGACAGCAGCCGGTCAGCGCGGGCGGACAGCAGCCGGACAGCGTTGGCGGACAGCAGCCGCACAGCAGCCGGCAGTGACCGCCTGCGTCGGTCGCCTCCGTGTCGCCACGCGACCCTTTCGACACCCCACATTCACGGCACAGCACCCCGCCCCCAGCATGCGGCACGCAGGCCCGCACACACAGCTCGGTGCGTCCCCAGGGGGGCGGGGCCTCGGCGCGATGCCGGACCGGCAGTCCCGGCGCGCGGGTGCGTGCGTCGGCGCACAAACCCAGAGGGACACGGGGAGGAGGGGAGACAGACGAGGACCGAGCGGCCAACAGGGGGCCGTGCTCGAGGGAGTGCGGGCTGAGGAGCAGAGGGGGGATACCCGATAGGAGCGGTCCGACTGCGGACGGTCACGCGAGTAGAGGTTGGGCCGGTGAGAGCGCCGGGCCGCCGTAACCCAGAGTGAGGGCTGAGTGTTCCAGGCACCACATAGCTACAAACCAAGTTAGGTGTGACACGTGGACGTGGCTCGTTACGCGTGTCCCGCTGAAAGAATAAACCCGCCGGGCAGCCGACCAAGCCACAAATGTAACACACCCTTCACATGCGGCTTGTCCCACGCAGAAAAACCGGCAACCAAAACCGTGCTGAAGAAAACGATCACGATCGACGTATGAGAGAAAACACCAATCCCCAAGACCTCCTCAGCACGCGGCCGCCGCGGGCAGCACGGCGGCGTATACTGTACAGTGTACACGCGCACAGCGGCGGCGGGCGGATCGACGGCCGGGGCCGGTCCTCAAGTGAAGCTGACCTCGGCGCCCAGGCTGCGCAGTCTGCAAGGGGCGCCGGGCCGTTCAGGCCCACGCGTCACGGACAGGCCGACTCGGGGGCGAAGGAGTGACAGCGCAGGCGCGACCGAGCGACAAGGCCCGACCAAAAAAAAGGACAAAAGGAAGGAAATTCTGTGTAGAAAATGTATGTGCATGTAGAAACCAATCAAATACAACGCCGGCAGGTACAAAATGGTTGTTGCCATGTTTGGGGGCGCCACGTGAGCCGCCGAATATACAACAGATTTTCAACAGTTCAGATGGACGGGCCCTACCATCTAGCGTCCACTTGAGCAACTACGGGTTGGGTCGACTGCCGCGGGTACGTGTAATTCACTCAAAGCGCGCGGCCGTGGCAGTGAAATGAACTTGGAACACAGGACTCGAATGAACTTCACTCTTACCAGATCAGATATTTCATCGAAGCGCCTTTAAAAGCTCTGTTCGTACGGAACATAAGACGACGTAAAGGCCAGCAAAGTGACAGAAGCGGTCCGACCGGTCCGGAGTCTAAGGCAAGGTCACGGAGTGTACCCGGCAGGTAATCACGTCCCCCAGGCCACGGAGTGTACCCGCAATCACGACATCCGGAAGCTCGAGAATTCCAGAACCCCTGCACAATCAAGAACTCGTAACGAGTCCGTCTCTCTTGCAATAGGAGGTATCTACAATGATTAGATAACAACGATACGAGTATGATAAACCGCGAGAGGCTCCAAGGCCCCCGGGGACCCATAGGAGGCTGGCGAGGCAGCACAGATAGCTGTTAGCGACGCCCCCGACCGACCAATAACATGGAGCCTGCCACAGATTATACTGGAAGCGGAGGGAGACGTTTTTGTAGCGTTACATAATGTTTTGAGTGGTCAAAAGACCACTGAACATACCACAAGCATGGCCAAGGCTTCATGGCCTAACACGTAAACCGTGCATCGGACAAGGAATCAAAACACATCGCGCTCATTAACTCTGCACAGGTACATCGACTTGACAGAGCCGCGCTGAAGGCGCACACCTCCAAACCTCCTTCCAGCATGTCCATCAGACCCAGCCCCACACGTCGCACCACGGCGGCCTTCCATCACTGCGATCACAGACCCCGACGGGCCGCCGGGCCGGACCGGCGCCCACCACCGCACCGCTGTCGGCTGACGGTGGCCGCGCCGCCGCCGGGCCGGACCGGCGCCCAGCGCCGCCGCCTCACCTGTGCAGCTCGCGGCCGGCCGACCCCGCCGGGCGCGGGTTGTCCTTCACGTACGACTTGCACGAGGCCAGCTTGGACTCCAGCGCCTGCGGACGCAGCAGGCGTGAGCGCGGGCCCGAGCGGCGGCGGCGAGGCGCCGGCGGCACGACCGGACAGCACTGGGGGGCGCGCTGTAGCGTGCGAGAGCGCGGAGCACGGGCCGGCAGCCGCAGAAGCCATGCGGCCGAGCCGCCTGGGCTCGCGGCGGCCGGCACCGGTCGACGGCTCTCGCCCATAGATGGCAGCAGCGGCGCTCCGCGAGCCGACGCACGGGCGGCGTCACGGCAGCGGTCGGTGGCCGCCGCCAGCACGGGGGCATCGGGCGCAAGATTGATACCTCCGCTTCCGGAGGCGCCCCATCGGCGCGCCAAACAGAGCAAACACGCGCACTGCACACACAAACACACACAAACGTCACCGCATGACCACGGCCCAGACAACGGCGGCAAGGGTACAGCTCCCCTCCATCTGCACAAACCGACCCTGTGCCGCACACGGCGCCTACCACTACCACGACGGCGCCGCGCGGGCGCCGGCGCGGCCCGTGCCAGCGGCCGGCCAGCTGAGCGGCGAGGCGCAGGCGGTTAGTAGCCGCGGCCCGCCACCGGAGGCGGCGCCGGCGGGGCCCGGGGCCGTCTCGGCCGGCCCCAGGCCCGGCCAATCAGAAGCCAGCCACCGCAGAGGCCACGGACGGGGGCGGAGCGGCCGCGGCCCGCGCGCCGCCGCGGCTTGGTTAGTCACGCAGGTCCAGCGGCAGGTCATCACCGGGGTCAAGGGTCACGGGAGGGACACGAGAGCGCTGGGAGCCCGTGAGGTCATCGGATGTTTTGACGTCGTGGAGAGGTCGCAAGGTCGCCAGGTCTTTCGGAGGCCATAGCAACGTCTGGAGGCCTGAGATAGCACGGGATTAGCCTCACTGAATGGGACGGTGGCAGCCACCCTGATGACGCCAAATCACTCCTAGTTGTTTTATGACAGATTTGGTGGGTTGAAGGGTCATGTTCATGTGGGTGTTGCTCTGAGACAGAAATAATTCACACCTTGAAGTTCCTCAGTGAAAAACTCCACTGTCCATGGAGTGGCGCCCATTGAGGCCGGCTAGTGACAGAACATCCCCTAACGACCTTCCTACCCGACAAAACCCGTCAGTCGCCAGAAGCCCAGTGCCCACAACCGACATCCCTCGGGAAGGCATCGGTCGACGGCCGGCGCGCAGGCCCGTTTTGCCTGCGCTGACCGACAGCGCCGTCGTCCGCGAGGCAGCGCGGCCGCTAGCGCACCGTCAGAGCGGCGGGGCGCGCGCGAGAGGCGCCTGCTGACGGAACGGAAGCGCTGCCCGTCTGCTCATTCTGCCGGCACCCATCCGTCCATTCATTACACCTCAAAGACGGGATGAGCGGATAGGATTGGAGGCTGACGTCATGGGCTTGACCGACGGACGGGATTGGGACGGGACGGATGTGGGTCTGGGACGGGACGAAACTGGGACGAGCCTAGGACGGAACTCGGACGGAACTGGGACGAAACTAGCACGGGACGGGGGTGAAACTCGACCTTAATAACACTGGTTGTCGGGACTGGGGACACCGTTGGGACAGTGTAACGGACGTCCCCGGACGCCGCGGAGCTGGGATCGAGCAAGGGCACGAAACCGTAACCTGGGACACCACCGCCCTCCCAAGGAACGCGCCCGGGAACGGCGACCGGCGCGTCATTACGCCCGGTCAGACGGCGGCGCTGCGACTGGAGCTGGGGCAGGAGCTGGAGCAGGAGCAGGAGCAGGAGCTGGAGCAGGAGCTGGAGCAGGAGCTGGGACAGGAGCTGGGGCAGGACCTGGAGCAGCAGCCGGGGCAGGAGCTGGAGCAGGAGCTGGGGCAGGAGCTGGAGCAGGAGTTGGAGCAGGAGTTGGGGCAGGAGCTGGGGCGGGAGCGGCCGAAGGACCAGCGTCAGGTGAAGGGCCGACACTGGAGCCGAGGCTGGGCAAGTTAGTGAGCGCTGGTCTGACCTGGTGCGGTGAACACGGCAACTACTGGGCAGGAATACATATACACCGGAACCTACTGCACGCCTTGCACATATACCGGTCCAGCTAGAACAGGGCAAAGCCGGTCGTCAGGGCGGTGATGATGACGTGACTGGCTTTCTGGGCGCGCCGGGGCAGACTCCAACACAACAGCGCCGCCAAGTGCCTCGCACGCGCCTAGCAAGCCTCTCCCAGCGGTTCCGAGACCAGTGCTGAGCCCGTCCAGACACACCGAGTCCATGCCAGAGGGCATCTCCCACAGGCGAACGGACGCGGTAGGTGAAGTGGCCGCGCGCTTCCTGCAGAGGCGAAGCGGGCCCGAGACACAGCCACGGCCAACACGCTCGGATGCTCGCGGCTTGTTTGCGTTCGCGACAGCAGCGAGGGCCGGCACCCGCGAGTGCCCCGCCGCGCCGGGTTCGTCACGGCCCGAGCGCGGCGCGCGCGCAGACGGTGCCCGTGTCCGCGCCCGGCCCACCGTCAGAGGCCAACACGGAGCCCGAAAGCCCGCCGCCGCGCGCACCCGTCGCGTGCAACGTGCGCGTGCGAGCCACAAGCGCCCGCGTGCTGCCGCGGCGGCGCCAGCGAGCCTGCGAGCCTGCCGCCACCGCCGGCCGCCCGGTGCGCCCGACTCACCCCGACTTTCCGCAGCAGATCGCCGACGATGTTGAGCGCCGAGATGCGCGACGAGGGCGTCATCGGACCGCCGCCGTCCAGTGCCGTGACGTGGCCGTTGGCGGGCGCGTCGCCGACGCTGGCCGGCACTGCGGGCGGGGCGCGGCCCGGGGTCAGCGGGTCAGCGGTCAGGGGTGAGCGAGTCACAAGTTGGAGAGAGGCGCACGTCAGAGGCGGCGCCGGCCGAAGGTCGCCACCCGCTCGATCGGCGACGAGCGCGTCGCGGCTGGCGCAGTCTGAGCCACACAGGCGCTGGTCAGCGGCGACGCACGTGGGGACATTCCCAGCTCTCTACGCCGTACTGCGTACACGCGCAGGACCGCACACGCGCTGCTGCACCTGGACAACCGGCGTTGTTACGCGAGACAGTGATTGTTGTCGCCCACATCGAGTCCCCTTCCCGCGGATCACGTCCCGCCAAATGACTTCGGCCGCATCCGGGCCGACCCGCGGCTGCCTTCGGGGCCGCCGGTCTGTTACTGAGGCGCGGAAGCTGCCGTCTGCCCCACCAGCAAAACTAACTCACGGCGGCGGGAAGTCTGAAAGCCATAACCGACCCCCGTCGGTGCACCTTTTACCCGCTGCTGTTCCGTCACCCCGCGCGCTGCTGTCGCAACGCCGGACGGCTCGCCGCGCCCGGCGGCAGACGACCTACCTCTGCCGGCGGTCTGGCCGGCGCCGGTCGGCTGGACGGCGCCGGGGCCAGGGCCGGCGGGCCGCGCGCGCGGCGCCTCGTCGTCGGGCGGCTCCTCCAGCAGTTTGTTGCTGTCCAGCGCCGAGCGGTCGTTGTCGGGCTGGCCGGCCGGTTCGTGCCGGTCTCGGATCACTAGCTCCTGGCGCAGGTCTGCCGAGCGGCCGGCCGGTCAGACGAGAGGACAGCGCGTCAGGCGAGAGGACAGCGGGTCAGACGAGGGGACGGCGGGAAGGAGGGTCAGACGGGGACACGGCAGGTAAGACGAGAGCACGACGGGTCAGACGGGGGCACGGCGGGTCAGACGAGGGCGCGGCGGGACGGCCGGTCACACGAAGGGAAGGCGGGACGGGTAGAGCCCTGGCCGAGGTCAGACAGCGGTGATGATCTGATAAGTGGGACAAAAACTCGGGCTGGCGCAGCTTCAAGCAGGCACAGCTCGCAGACGGGCTGCCAACCCGTGGTCTGTCGACAGCCGCCCCATGCAACGGTCGATCGATGATATCCTTCACCGAAGAAAGCCAACAACGCCACTTTGGATTTGTTTTTTTTTTTTGGATTAGAGCCCTTTCGACCAGACATGATCATTTCAGGGCTATGGGATGAAGGAAATGGTTAGCGATGGGATAGACGTGCATGCGCCTGGGGGGCCAACCGCCGAGCTTTAACCCGCGCATGCGCGGGTACCCGGTCGGGGTCCCTCTTCCCACGGGGCTCCCCGCCCATTCGTGGCTGACGTATGCAGCCCGCCCCGGACAAGCGGGGTGTCGCGAGGATGCAGGATGAAGCAAGATGGAGGATAAGAGGGGCGGATGATGTCGAGGTCACTTTGGAACCCAGCCTGTTAGTCTGCCGGCATGTTAGCTCCACTATCGTCCCTCCAATGCTTCACACTGCCTACACGGCTGATCTGAACCCGGTCGGCGCACGGACCGGCGTCCTGCGGCCGCCGCCGCCGGGCGGCCGGAGAGTTGGGGCGGCGCCAGCTTCCGCGCCGTTGCCGGCCGGCGCTCGCCCACCGCAGCCCCCTCTCCATGACGTGCTGCATCGACACCGTGTACCCCCTCCACGCGTCATGCCCACCACGTCTGCTCGTACCGCATCGACACCGGCCAGGCCACGCCGGGTCGCCGGTGTCGCGCTGCACCGCGCCGACAGCTGTGCCTGCGACGCACACGCTGCGTCCCGGCCCGGCCGCCCGGTGACCCCGGCTGACCTCGGGACTCGTCCTTGAGCCGCTGCACCATCTCCCGCAGCGTCTCCTTCTCATCCAGCTCCGACTCGAGGAAGGCGTTCCGCTCCAGCGCCTGGTTCAGTCGGCCCTCGAAGTCCTCCAGCGACACCACCATCGTCCTGTCGGCCCGCCGGCGGTGCCGTGACGTCACACGTCGGCCGCTGACACGTCACCAGCACGTCGGTGATGTCACACGCCATCAACGCAAACAAGTGTGCTGCAGGCGGCGTTGGCCAACGCAGGCGACATGAGAGGCCGCCAATGCTGCCGCTCAGGCAGACGGGCCATCTGATAGCGAGACCGGCGCGGAAGCTCACAACAAAGATAACCATACAGATAACGAAGATAAAGATAAGATAAGATAACAACAAAGATCATTGGACCATCCGTCGACGTCGGCCGGCACCAATCACCACTCCCCGGCACCACAGACCGTCCGACCGCACCACTCACCGCTTGACCCGCTCCAGGTCGTCATTCTCCTGCTCCAGTTCGCGGATATACTTGGAGAGCTTCTCCTTGATGCCGGTGACCTCCGACAGGCCGGTCTGCAGGTCCGAGATCTGGTCATGGGCCTCCGTCTGCAGGTGCTCCAGCTTCTCCTGTGGACAGGCGAACGGCGCTGTCACCCAGGCAGCACCTTCGACCCTTTACGGCCACCCAACATGACAACGTTGTCTGATTACTGACATTTTACGGCCACCCGACACGACAGCCGTTATCTGATAACTGACATTTTACGGCCACCCGACATGACAGTCGTAGTCTAATCACTGACATTTTACGGCCACCCGACATGACAGCCGTTGGCTAATTACTGACATTTTACGGCCATCCGATATGACAGCCGTTGTCTGATTTTTTACACTTAACGACCACCCGACATAACAGTCATTGTCTGATTACTGACATTTTACCACCACACGACAGCCGTTGCCCGATTTTTGACATTTTACGGCCGCCCGACATGACAACCGTTGTCTGATTACTGACATTTTACAGCCACCCGACATGACAGCCGCTGTCTGATTACTGACATTTTATCACCCCACATGACAGCCGTTGTCTGATGATTGACAGACTGGGCGCGCCGATTTCAGCAACACAAAATGCTTAGGAAACACGTAACGTTACACCGCTCACATTTTTCACAGGAGACATGGACACGGAAACGGATACGGACACGGACACGGGAAGACCCGGCTGTGACCCCGGACATCGCGTGTCCGACTGGTCCTATGGTAACAAGCGGGCCGGGGGCCAAGTCGCGTCCGTGCGCGGCGTCGACACCAATCTCCAGACAACCGCCCCGCTGTTTCACAGACGACGTAATTACGGCCGGCTTTCACCGAGCGTCGGTCTGCACGCCCGCCGGCGGCCGGGGGAGGGGAGAGAAGGGGAGGGGGAGGGACACCTGTGGCCACACCTGGTGTCGCCCACCTCCCCCCGCTACCACGCAGTAGTGGGCGGCGGCCGCCCCCACCGCCGCCCTTGTGGCGCCGCTCCGCCGGCGGCCGTCGGTCGGGGGTTGGTTCGCGAGCGCCGCTTCCGTTCGGAGCCGGACTCGGCTGACTCTCGGAGCGGCGACTCCCGGACTCCGCCGCCCCCGGGCGCCAGACTCCCGCCCCGCCGACCCGTCCGCCACCGCGCGCCGTCGGGACACGGCGGGCCGGCCGGCGAGGCGAGACGAGGCGGTGCGCGGCGCGCCGCGCCGCCAGCCGTCGCCGAGTGACGGGGTCACGAGCGGCCGGGCGACCCCCCCCCCCCCACTCCCCCGCCCCCAGCGCTGCGGACGGCCCCTCCCCGACGGCGGGCGTGAGTCACCGGGCCGAAGCCGCCCGGCGGCCGACTCGGCCGGGCCCGGCGACCACCGCGCTGCCGCGTGACGACAGCACCGCGCAGCTGTGCGGCCTGGATGCCCCTCGCTCGCCAGGCGGCCGTCGTCTGTGTTGTTTTGGCCCCGCCGAGACACCTCGTCGCAAGACGAAGACGACGGTTGTGCGCGACACGTGACACGTCCTTGCGTAATCGAGACAATCCATGTAATCGACACTGACACCTGACACGCCAGAGCAAGAACGTGCAAGAAGAGCTTTGAGCATATGGTCCCATCAACGCGTCGCCACCGTGACCTTCAGTGGTGTTCTCATGGCAAATGCCACGCCACCGTCTTCATCCCAAGCAGACCCGGAGGAGCCGCAGGGTGGCGAATTCCCGGACCTGGCCACCGCCGGCGGCCGCTCTCCCCGCGATCGACAGTCGCCGCGCCTCCCAGACGGCACGTCCGGCGGCGGTGGCGAGGGCGCGGGCGCGGGCGCCGCTCCTCCGGCCTCCGGCTGACCTCCGTCTGTCGACTCGCGCCGGCCGGCCCAGCCGCTCCTTGTACGGGGGCCGGGCCGGCGTCACGCCGGGTGCGGCCCCGCGCTGGCACGAGCACCCGCCGGCGGGCGGCGGCGGCGGCGGCGGCGGCGGGCAGCGCGGGTCACGCGGGCGGCGAGAGGACCCGGCCGCCGCCGCCGTCCACCACCGCGCGGCCAGCCGGCGACGGGCTCCGCCGCACGCACGCCCGCCGGCTGGCGTCCGACCGACACAGCCGCCTGGCAGAGCGGGTGCACTGAGGCCGCCGTGGCCGCAAGCGGGTCATGCATACGAAATCGCGCCGCGCGGCGCCGCTGACCGGCCGGCGCGCTCCTTCCGGCCGGCGCCGAGCGGGCGGCAGCGGCGGCTCCGCTGCGCGCCGCCGCCGGCGGCTCCGGCGGCTCCGGTCGCCTCGCCATGTGGAGCGTGGGAGGCGGTTCGCCGTCGCCCGGCGGCTCGGCTCGGCTCCGGGCCGGGGCGGCCTTGGCGCCGGCTCGGCTCGGCTCGGCTCGGGTCCGGCCGGTCGCGCTGACTCACCCGTCCAGCCGGCGCGGCGGCGCGCGACGCCGGGGTCAGGCCACCGGCCTCACCCCGGCGGCCAACTACGCCCTGGCGGCCGACGACCCGGCCGACAGCGCACGCCCACGACGAGGCCGGGCCAGCCCGTCAGACCCGGGCCGGCCGCACCGCCTGTTGACCAGGCGCTCGGGGGGCGGCTCGCGTCACGCTGCCGTTCACGAATTTGAACGGCGCGACGTTCCGCCAAGGCCGTTGTGACGCCCGTCCCCAACGGTCGGCGGCGGCGGCGGCGGCGGCGGCGGCGGGAGAGCGCTGGCGCGGCGCGAGCCAGCCGCCCGGCGCCGACCCCGCAGCCCGGCCAACAGCTGTGAGGCCGCGTCACCCCCGCATGACGTCACGGCACGGCCCGCGCCAGGCGGCCGGCCGCCGGCGGCGCTGAATCGCAGCCACCGCCGGCCTGTCGCCGTGCGGCGCCTGAACCGACGGCCCGCTGGCTGAGTGACCCGCTGGCTGGGACGACTCGCGGCGCGGTGCTCACTATCCCGGCTGCTGGAATCCCGGTTTCCTGAACGGCCCCATGCGTCAGCCTGCGTGACGCGCCGATTTTGAGCCAAAACATGGGGCCATTATTTACGCCAGGCATTTACCCACTCCGTAACTGACTGGCATGTTTCGCTACTACGTCACGGGCAATCTAAGCCGTAGCTGCTACATCCGGGCAGCAGTAGCTGCTGACGTCAGAGGACTCCCGGCACAGCTGAACAGCCGGGCCGCGCGGGTCAGCCTCCAGCGAGCTGGCACCAGCCGGCACACTCGCCATGCAGACACGGTGAGCCAACACACCTCGTCTCGACTACAATGACGGAGAACGTGAAACGAGTGGAGCGGCGAAGGCCAATGCCCACACGACACGCGGCGTTACATAACATGACTTACGAGAATGGCGTGACGTGACCGCAACGCCGGGGCGCGGGAGACGAATTTCCGATCCACCCCCGCCCCCCCCCCCCCCCCCCCCCCCCCCCACCTCCCTCCGCAGCTTGCTTGCCTCTTTTACTGCTGCTTCTACGCCGGCGGGACCAGGCCGCTTTTTGCTCTGCCGCAAACAGAAGCAAAGAGGCTCCCATCAGCACACGCACAGCGTCGTTCGGCCTACGGTTCTCTAGTAGATGGTCAGCCATAGAAGTTCGCGCTTCTTCCAACGCACGGAAAGTCAACACGTTTGAAAGCCCCCAAAATGGTAAGAGCAACAAATAAAAACAAAACAAGAACATGACCTGGTGGCGATTGGCGCAGTGCAATGAAGCGTGCACTCGCGTACGCAAGTCACACCGGTGGACGTTGCAAATCCACGCAACACCGCGGGACGCCATCGCAAGAACCTTAAAGCACCGCCTAGGTTTCCAACATACAAGATACCCTGACGCGCACACCTGTGCGTACGTGTGCGGCTGGCGCGAAAAAAGCGCGCCGGCGCGCCACACAGCTGCGCCGAGACAACTGTGCGCGCGGCGCGGTCAGGGTCGACCCGGCCGCCGCCGCGCCGCGTGACGGGCGGCTCGGCGCCGCCGTCAGCGGCCGTGACCACGCCTGCGGGCCACACCCCGCGCACCGGACCGGACGCGGCCCACGCATGTCACAGTGGTACCGGGCGGCGCCGCCGCGGGAGCCAGCGCCGGCGGGGCGCGACACCCGGCCCGGCGGTCGCAGCGTGTGCCCCCCCCCCCCGCCGGTCAGAGCGAGCACCTGCTGCAGTCCTCAGCCCGAGCCGCAGACACGGGCCGGCGTCGGCGGCGAGCCCGGCCCCGCAGGCCTCAGCGCGGCCAGCCGGTGGCGGCCCGCCGCGTCAGCAGCGCCGGCGGGCCGCGTGAGCCGGCGCCGGTCGCGACGCTCCCGCCGCGCCGGAGACTTCCGCCTGCCGAGCAGCGGCGCGTCCAGACAGGCCGTGGGGGCGGCGGCGGCCGCCGCGCGCCGATCCGTCCGCCGTCTGTCACCGCCCCCCCCCCCCCCTCCTCCCCCCCCCCCCCAGCTCGCGGCAGGCCCACACGTTCGCCAAGCAGGCACTCGCTCATCCGGGGCATGAGTTGCGTGTTCCTGCAACGTGACCGTCCAGAGCGAGCCGATCCGAGCTGTGCCGGGCCGAGCTGCGGTCACCGCCGCCACTGACCGGCTCCGCACCTGGGCGGCCGGTGGCCAGCGTCGCGGCGCATACCAGCGCTGCCGTGCCGTATACGGGCGCCCGCTGCGAGTGTGCACGGCGGCTGGCACGTCGACCCGGCGGCGACCCGCTATCGACCGCGCGCGGCCGCCGGTCGATCGGCGCGCGGCACTGACCGCGGCCCGGCGGCCGGGCGGGCGGCACGCGCGTGCCACCGACACCGGCCGCTCGCGGTCGGACGACGGCCGCGGCCACGTGGGGCGGGGTCGCAGCTGCGGCCGCGGCGCGTGCCCGGGGAGGGGGTGGGGCGGTAGGCCCCGCACTCCTCGCGCGCGTCGCTCGGCGAGGGCCGGGCGGCGCCCGCCGACGGCCGACACAGCCCCACGAGTCCGACGGCCGAGTGTCCAAAGGATGCGGATAGAGGCTGCGCTGAAGGCTGCAGCCGGGGAGGCAGTGCTCTAACTAAGCTCACAGCCGACGACATGTTCGGACGCCTCACCGTCGGCGAAAAGTTCGGGGCGGCGGGCAGGGCAGTTTAGGGCAGCTTCGGGCGGCAGCGACAGGGAAAGCTGGGGCATACGCGACTTTCGGTCATCATGTCCAATCCACGATCACGCATCGGCGATGTCGTCTTCCTGGACCCATTGCGGTCAACGATTTAAGCAGAGCTCACAATTGCCCACACCACCGCAGCCTCCTTCACCCCATAGCACAGTATGGTGCTTTTCACTCTGGTGACTCATCTCGCTAGAGGCTATCTGCATAATAGGAAACAGATGATGTAAGACTGGACACTTGTTCTTCTAAGGGCCTCACATAAAGGTACACCGCTCCCTGGCCGGACCGCTGATGTTCAAATTCTTGATAAACGGCGTCGCCCACGTCCTTCCACATCATCAGCTAGCACCGTATGCTGACAGCTCCCAAATTGTAGACCGCACTCCTTCACACACAGAGCATCTTTCTTATATAAAACGACGCATTGAAGAATCGCTCGGGGTCTTCGGGTACGGTTCAACATTAACTCTGAAGATGGACACCAGTAGAACTGATTTTATTATTGCCAACATTAACTGTCAGTATTTTATCATTGCCGGTACCAAAAACAACACAAAAAGCAAAGGATTAAAACTTGCACGCTGCCACCTAAGGCTAACATTATCAGTTTATCAAAATCTTGGTTGTCACCGTTTACCACATGCTGACACGGGAGCAGCACATTGCAAATCTGGCAGGATGATTGCCAGTCGCAATCTCCCTGAGGCCGCTCCGCCCCGACTTCACCCCGGCAGCTGTGCGCCTCTGCTCCAATCCACGTTTTTCCAACACATCCTACCACATTCCAGGGTGGTGCGGCGCTGCAAAGAGACGGCTGAACGAAGATGTTCATACTTCGACGCCCGAATCGGGTCTGGCACTCGGAGGGAGACCACGCATCGCTCGGTCTGGCTCTCGGAGGGAGACCACACATCGCCCGGTCTTCAGGTACTCGGAGGGAGACCACACATCGCCCGGTCTGGCACTCGGAGGGAGACCACACATCGTCCGGTCTTAAGGTGCTCGGAGGGAGACCACACATCGCCCGGTCTTCAGGTACTCGGAGGAAGACCACACATCGCCCGGTCTGGCACTCGGAGGGGGACCACACATCGCCCGGTCTTCAGGTACTCGGAGGAAGACCACACATCACCCGGTCTCGCACTCGGAGGGAGACCATGCATCCCTCGGTCTTCAGGTACTCGGAGGAGGATCACACATCGCCCGGTCTGGCACTCGGAGGGAGACCACACATCACCCGGTCTGGCATTCGGAGGGAGACCACACATCGTCCGGTCTTCAGGTACTCGGAGGGAGACCACACATCGCCCGGTCTTCAGGTACTCGGAGGAGGATCACACATCACCCGGTCTGGCACTCAGAGGGAGACCACACATCACCCGGTCTGGCATTCGGAGGGAGACCACACATCACCCGGTCTCTGGCATTCGGAGGGAGACCACGCATCGTCCGGTCTTCAGGTACTCGGAGGGAGACCACACATCGCCCGGTCTTCAGGTACTCGGAGGAAGACCACACATCGCCCGGTCTGGCACTCGGAGGGAGACCACACATCGCCCGGTCTGGCACTCGGAGGGAGACCACACATCACCCGGTCTGGCACTCAGAGGGAGACCACACATCACCCGGTCTGGCATTCGGAGGGAGACCACGCATCGTCCGGTCTTCAGGTACTCGGAGGGAGACCACACATCGCCCGGTCTTCAGGTACTCGGAGGAAGACCACACATCGCCCGGTCTGACACTCGGAAGGAGACCACACATCGCCCGGTCTGGCACTCGGAGGGAGACCACACATCACCCGGTCTGGCTCTCGGAGGGAGACCACACATCGCCCGGTCTTCAGGTACTCGGAGGAGGATCACACATCACCCGGTCTGGCACTCGGAGGAAGACCACACATCGCCCGGTCTCCAGGTACTCGGATGGAGACCACACATCACCCGGTCTCCAGGTACTCGGATGGACACCACACATCGCCCGGTCTGGCACTCGGAGGGAGACCACACATCGCCCGGTCTTCAGGTACTCGGAGGAGGATCACACAACACCCGGTCTGGCACTCGAAGGGAGAGCACACATCCCCCGGTCTTCAGGTACTCGGAGGGAGATCACACATCGCTCGGTCTTCAGGTACTCGGAGGAAGATCACACATCGCCCGGTCTGGCACTCGGAGGGAGACCACACATCGCCCGGTCTGGCACTCGGAGGGAGACCACACATCGCCCGGTCTGGCACTCGGAGGGAGACCACACATCGCCCGGTCTTCAGGTACTCGGGGGGAGACCCCACATCGCCCGGTCTGACACTCGGAGGGAGACCACACGTCACCCGGTCTGGTATTCGGAGGGAGACCACACATCACCCGGTCTGGTACTCGGAGGGAGACCACACATCACCCGGTCTGGTACTCGGAGGAAGACCACACATCGCCCGGTCTGGTACTCGGAGGAAGACCACACATCACCCGGTCTGGTACTCGGAGGGAGACCACACATCACCCGGTCTGGTACTCGGAGGAAGACCACACGTCACCCGGTCTGGTATTCGGAGGGAGACCACACATCACCCGGTCTGGTACTCGGAGGAAGACCACACATCGCCCGGTCTGGTACTCGGAGGGAGACCACACATCACCCGGTCTGGTACTCGGAGGAAGACCACACATCGCCCGGTCTGGTACTCGGAGGAAGACCACACATCGCCCGGTTTTCAGGTACTCAGAGGGAGACCACACATTACCCAGTCTTCAGGTACTCGGACGGCCGAGGGCGCATACTCCGCCCGACGCAGAGTGCGCCAGACTGTTACCGCGCCGCAAAAACACCATAACCTCGGCCCCTCCACGGCACGCCGTCTGTTTGTGCCACGCCCGCAGGTCTCGCAGCATGAGACCTAGCGCGGGGTCAGCACTGCGGTTCTCCCGTGCCGCCCAGTAGGCACGAAGAGGGTTGTGTCCTCCTCAGAGCTGTACACCAGTGGAGTGCTCTTTTGAAAGCTTTGAGATCGCGCCGTGGATTCAGCGTTTAAGTCAGCGGCGTAGCTTTGCAGAACAAGTTAAGGGGGCGGGGGGGGGGGGGGGCTGAGGAGGGAAAAATAACAAACCCTTTCGACAGCACATGCCCCAGAACACGCTCCTCTCAGGATTCGGCTTCCTTTCTTCTCCGAGTTGGGGAGAGGGGGGGGGGGGGGGGCAGGAGGCTGGAACTTCCCAGCTTCCAAAGGAAACTACACTCTGCTTTACGTATCTCCTCCGCAATCGCTGTGGCGCCACACAATCGAGACCACAACCTAGCCAGATTCCAATCCCAAAAGCAGCTTCGTCCGCCTGCTCCTACACTCCTCCAATCGCCACTTACCTCCACACGCACATTGCCAATTGCGTTCCACACGCCTCTTTTCCACGCCGTGTTGCCATTGTCTTGCGAAACTAGTGTATGACAAAACGCCCCCCCCCCCCCCCCCACCTCTCCACGGAAAAAGCTTCCACGGAATGCCACACATACACGCCCCCCCCCCCCCACCACTCCACAGAAAAAGCTTCCACCGAATGCCACACATACACGCCCCCCCCGCCACCTTCCCATGCAAAAAGCTTCCACGGAATGCCACAAATACAAACACAAATACTCGACAGGGCCTGACAAGATCGAGCGTCGCTCACCAGGCAAAACAGGCTGGGTTTCCTTGCTGGCACCAGCGCCGCCCGGCAGCTTCCCAGCCGTGTGGGAGCAGCGCCGGCCGCCAGCGCGACCCGCGGCGCCGGGCCCACCTGGATCCGGCTGGCCTCGGCCCAGACGGGGCGGGGCGGGCAGCGCCGGCGGGGGCCGCCGCCGCACCTCACCCACCCTTGATCTGGTCGTTCTCGGTCTGCACGCGCGCCAGCCGGCCGGTGAGGTCCTTGACGCGCGCCTCCTGCTGCTCCAGCTGCGCCTCCAGCTCGGCCTCCAGCTCGCGCGAGTTCTCCTGGAACTCGTCCAGCTCGTCTCGCGACTCGGCCAGCCTGCGGCGCACGAACAGAGAGCGCTGTGAGGCGACCGCCGGCCGGGCATGCTCCGGTCTGGGCCGGGGCACCGCCGCCGTCCCCACGCAGTGTGTGTGTAGCAGTGTATGTGTAGCAGTGTGTGTAGCAATGTGTGCGTAACAATGCGTGTGTAGCAGTGTGTGTGTAGCAATGTGTGTGTAGCAGCGTATGTCTAGCAGTGTGTGTGTAGCTGTGTGTGTAGCAGTGTGTGCGTAACAATGTGTGTAGCAGAGTGTGTAGCGGCGTGTGTGTAGCCGCGTGTGTATAGCAGTGTGTGTGTAGCAGCGTGAGTGTGTAGCGGTGCATGTGTAGCTGTGTGTGTAACAGTGTGTCTGTAGCAGTGCGTGTGGCAGTGTATGTAGCACACCGCGCAAGACACCCGACACGTCATTGTCTCTGACATGCGAGTCAGCGCGCGTGACGCGGCGCGATGGTGATCGACTGAGAGCTGCCTCCCTCTGATGTGATTCTGCACGCTGCTGCTGATCTGCCGGACAGGTGATGTTGACAACAATCGGGGCCACGCGACTGTCACAGTTTCTGCGGTGTTTTGTTCACGATAAGTAGAAACTATGTCGGTGTCTGCCCTCATGTGCTGCATCAACTTTTTGGTCAGATCAATCCCCGAAAGGCGCTCATCGCGCCACACCTTGGCGATTTTCATCTTGCATGAGGCTCATGCCACCCGTGCGCTAACTACCCTCACAATCAAATCGAAGCTCGACGACCAAATACCGAGAGCTCACGGGTTTCTTGGAGCCCAAAACTCGTTTGTAAACGCCCCTACACTTGACGCCCACGACGACCTGAGCTAATTCAAGAATCGGAACCATATTTCGCTCCACCGGGCTTGCGCCTCGAATCCGCCCACACGACCCTTGCAGGTACCAAACAGCCCAGCGTGGGTATCACCGGAAGTGATCCAAGATTAGGACAGACATATTGTATTAAGGGCAATTCGACCTATTAAAGCTAATGCGTGTGTCTATCCCAGAATAGCTAAGAGCAACCGCAAGTTTACACTCTGCAGGAGCGGCTCGTTCTCAGGCCCAAACCAAAGATCGACTTCAGCGAGAGGTCCACCGGATGATGATGTACACTTCATCCTCGTTCATCGGGGTTTAAGGACGAACCGCCTGCTAAGGCCCATTTTGTGCCCAGAGGCATTCTTGAAGGCCTACCTGCTGGTGGTGGCCTGTATACCATGTATAGAGTGGTAAGTAGGGCTTGTGGTGGTAAGTTTTTATCGGATCAGGGGGATCAGTAGACGCCTCGACCATAAGCCCCTCGTCCGTGCCGCGATGACTGGTAGCTCTGCCAGCAATTCGCTTCCACTGAGCCGTCCTCCAGAATGTCAGGCCTTTAGCACGCTGCAGGATCCTTCACTGCGATGGCCTTGAAGTGAGGATTGGTCTTGGGTGTTCCTGACAGACACAGCCACCCCAGGACGCGTTCCGCAGCTGGGTGCCTGACATACTGCGGTGTTCGCTACAGCACGGCCAGTCCACGCGGCCGGTCTCGCCCAGTGGGCGCAGCTGGCAAGGCTGCGCATGATGGTGAGCGACGCCCGAAGCTGCCGCCTCCTCCTCCGGCGCCGGCCACACAGGCATGGCGCCCGCTTCCTCCAGGGCGCGGGGAGGAGGTTGCCAGCACTGAGTGTGACAGGTGGGCCTGAATGGTGTTGGTGCCTATATGGCCAGCCAGGCCTGGCGACAGCCACACACCGGCTGATCCTTGTACATGATGGCCTGCATGAAGCTGGGGATCTTGTCACTGACCAAGGACAGGACCATCCATATCAATAGATTTAATTGATGTGTTTGCTGAGCTTTAGTCCCCTTCATTTCCACTTAATATGTAGCATACGTGTCAAAAACCCAACAAATATGCATTAGAAAACTGCAGCCATCCAGTCACAACAAGCTATATTTTTGTGCCACAGTGGGGTTAATTTCTCCTCAGCAGAACCAACACTGACTCCGAGTTGCAGAGCATAGGTATGACTCCATCACTTCCTCCAAGCAGCAAAGAGCAACATTAAGTACACTGCACCTAAGTAAGTATGGTATAATTCCAGCATCAACTCCAATGAAGCAAATTTCTGTAACACTGGCTTATGTGACACCCTCCCCTCTGGGCCTCATAAAAGCCTTAACAGGGAGATATTTTAATAGCAATACAGTTGTATATATATATATATATATATATATATATATATATATATATATTCCAATAAATGACCTCCCATAGGTCAAGGTCATGTTGTAACTGTCAGTGAACACATTTTGTAGGAAACCATTCAATCTGATGTGACAACTGAGGGCTAGATGAAGCTGTACATCATGAGATGGTTACATACACAATTCAACATTTGAATTTAGGATTACAACCAATTTTGTTGCCCTGGGGTGAGGTATGAAGCCCGACTGAGGCCAAAACCAACCTGTTTTATGGGCCTTGCTTTCAGGTCATTCCTGGTGCTTTTTTCAAATTCTTGATAACAGGGACCTCAAAAAACACCTTTCCACGATTCATTTACGGTCAGCATAGAACACTGACTACAACAAACCCAATCACATTTTATTTTTGGAACACTCAGCCTAGTGGCAACATTTGAGCTTGTTCAAATATGAAACAAAATGATCTGGTCAGTTTTGGTCACCATGACCTTAAAAAGGTCAAACAAATTCACTGATCTAACTGAACAACAGTGACCATTTGCTTGGAACAGGTATCTAAGTTCAAGGCTGATGCATCAGGTGTGGGGAACTTACAACACCAATCTGGAATTGACCCTCTTCAACCTCATTTAGCCAGAAGGCTATGACCTAGGAACTCACCTTTTTGCAAAAGTAAGTTTTCATACAGGCTGAACCACACTATGCACTAGGTGCATCTACCTCTCTTAGTTTTTTAGATCTAGGGGTGGCAAATTTGACCCCATCCAAACATGTGATATTTAGCCCTCCACTCATATGTGTGTTAGCCATACACACTTCTCCATTTTAAACACCTATTTCACTTGGTGTTAATGTTATGTTATGGATGAATTTTGTTCAACCAAAATGCACCATATAATAAAATGCATGCAATCAGGGCTGTGACCAGAGACTTCACAACTAACAAAGTCTGGGGATATCACAGGTTTGAGGTTTGTTTTATAAAATGGCAGGCATTGTGACCAGAAATAAATTTACCTTGCCCATAACAAACGGTCTATGGGATGCTATTTCTTCCTTGTGAACACACCAGTAATGGTCACGAGACAATCGCATACGCTAAGATATGTTTCAAAATTCACATGATTACCAAGTACCCCACATGGCAGCCATCACCACAGACACAACCAACAAAACTGGTCCTATGAATGAAGATTGCTGATTCACAAATTCCTTTAATGCATAAATAATGCATACTATATAATAATGCAGGATATAAAATAACGCATTAATAAATGCATAAAAGAGAGCCACAGACATTCTAGAAACATGTTTGTTTACTAGTTTACTGATATGTCCGTCATGCTAAGAGCGTACACACAAACTTACCAGGCTAGTAGTATGATGATCAACAAAGACTGCACTAAAGTGCATTTTTCTGTCACTCCAGGGAACATAATTTTGCATGTTTTATGGTTGCATTCCTGGTGTTAATTTCACTGTGGAATACTTACACCACACTAAGCATCATTATGAGCAGAAGTAACAAAGCCTGGCCACAAGATCAGTCCTCAATTACATTAAGGAATGGCAGGTTGAGCGCTGTTGCAGTGCCTAAACCCACTCTTGCAGTGTATCTGTGATCCTCTTTTATGACATCCAGGCATCGCAAAGGCCTGCCATATTGCTAAAGTCTATTATGAGGCATGGATGTCACCACAGTATGCCTGCAATCCTCACTTTAGTGTCATGAAGGCACTGCAAAAGCCTCACACATTGCTGACACTCATTACAAGTCAAAGGTATGGTGGCTTGTAAGGTATGGCGGCACCAGTGTTCTTTAGGTAGATAAGTAGATATCCCATATGCATGACTCACCTAATCTTTAAATCCTGAGCTAGACTTTTCCAAAATGATATTTCTTCATCCTTGCTTGCAAAGTCGGGCGACATGTCTCCCATTTTAAAGCAGGAGGCTGTGATACGCTAAAATAGCTCGAAACGTCGTGTTCCCCAGCTGGATGCCTCCGTCAGCAGCCGTGGTGCGATGAAGGTGACGGAGAGCTTCAGTTCACCTTCATATCGACCAGTTGGAGACGATTCGCAGAGCCAGGAGCCCGATTCCCAGTCAACGATGATAGGTCAAGACCGTCATAGCACTATCTTGCCTCCAGAACACAGCTCTCGCCTGTACCTATCTTCAGAAATTATGCATACACGACACCTCGCCCAGCACGACCGACCCCTCATCCCAACTGATCCGCAGAGAGCAGCGCAAAAAATAGCGTAAGGCAAATAACGGAAACTTCGGCTACCAGATCGACCCAGATGGGGATCTTCGCCAAAACCTCTAGAAGTCTTTGATATCTGCAAACATCCCTAGAGGCCAGGAAGCGGGCACGATGCGTTAAATCCCAAGCGTAACGCTGAAGGGGCGGCGGGAGATCAGTGAGAGCACGCGCCGCCTTCCTTTTTTAAGCCTTTTCACAACTTTTCTGTGGCGAAAAAATCAGGAGTTTCGCCCCGTCGCTATATGGCCTTGGTTTCACCCACGTCGACACCAATTCAGGCAACGCCTATGGATGCAGCTGCTTTCCTATAAAACAAAACTAAACAAAATCCGCCCTCGAGTATAAGTTCTTTCATCGCCAGGTGGGCTAGGAATACGAAATCAAGTACGCTGGCTTTAACGCATGCTTTGATGTGAAATCCATAATTCTGAAATCGATCCCTTCCTGCTATCCTGTCTCCATCAAAGTAAGAACATTCAAAGTGAGGAAATGAGGAGCACCAGAACAGAAATGGACCTCAGTATCATCAGGCCTGGTTGGGTGACTACGCCCATGGCCATCACTAATATTTCAGTCAGGTCGCGATACCGCTAAGGTATTCAGTGTCATGACCATATCACCAATATCATGAGCC